CCCCAAAACCCCAAAACCCCAAAACCCCAAAACCCCAAAACCCCAAAACCCCAAAACCCCAACAGGCTATAAGTAATAAGAATTTTAGTTTTAATAATATTAAAGATGAAATACATCGCATTCACCCTGATCTTGATCCTCGCAGGACTCTACTTTGGACAAACTGCCATTAAGTGTAAGTCTTTAAGCCACATACTTGGAGAAGCACCTTTTGTGTAGAGATTTGGGACCTAATCTTGTTTATAGCTTTCTTCCCACAGGAATCTACCATGGAGACTATTGCTCCTCTTGGTAATGCCACCCATCACATGTGCAACCATACCTGTAATCAGCTCTACGCTCCTCATATTATCGACAACTACTGTAGAAGTGGTGCTTACTGCAACTCTACTTTCGCTTCCTGCTGCACGTAAGATATTTTCACTTAACCTACAGATTGCACAATCACAAATGCGCAGGAAGAATGATTCCAATGAGAGAGTTCAATTTCCCTAGCACTTGCCCTAACGGAACCATTAACGGAACCTACAATGCTACCATCCCAGAGTACTACTTACTCGATAACTAGTTTTGTTGCTAAAAACTTTGACTACTACAAATCTTGTCTTCTTGGATGCCTCTTCAGAATCTTAGCACAAATTAAGCTTCAATCTGATGTGTACGATTTCCGTAGGATTCCTGATGAATCAAGTTCTTGCCTTAGTGCTATTAAAACTGAATCTTGGTCGACCTCGGGTGATTTGCCTGGCAATATATAACTCATGATGTTCATGAGCTAAAGATTTTATCCTGGCCTATCTTTTAATACTAATGGGAGATTAAGGAAATCGACATAAACTGAAATTTTTGAATTAGGATTGTTAGGAATTAGAGCTAGATTGGGTCAGGGGCTTAGTAATGATTAATTTTAGCATTTTATTAGTTTATAGAGTGTAATTCTGTGTCAAAGGAGTATAACCTCTCTTTGATTTCTTTATGTGAAATGGTTCTTCAGCTCTAAGAGATTGGTTGAACTTCATAGTTAACTCAACAATCTAATTTTACATTGGTCGATTAATTATAATGGTTAGGATGAATTATAGCTAGTTGGTAGGAAACAGATTAACTTGGTCGACTACGAGAAATATCTTCAAGAGTTTAGTCAAATGCAAGCAAATAGAAAGCTTGATCCAAGACAAAGGAATTTCTGGGATCGACATGCTTAGCAAAACTTGAAATCCGCCTTGAGGTCATTTATATGCTTTAAAAATAGTTGAAATTACTCCAACTCATCTTGGAGAATGTCTATTCTTTCCTTTTCAATCTCTCCAATACCATCTGGGGTTTTGGGGTTTTGGGGTTTTGGGGTTTTGGGGTTTTGGGG